AATGTCAGTGAAAACTAGTGCCAGATGTCCTTGTGGAGCGGGGACCTCCTCATCCAACCTAGCAATTCCGCGGTCTCCAGTTGGGTCAGGCCGCCGCACAGGGAATACTTCTGGATCAACCAGGTCTGTCGTCGGTTGGCGAGAAGACGACGGGCCACCACCGAAGAGCTCAGCCACAGAGATGACCATGATCATCGTAGTACCCTCCGCACCGTAGCTGATCGCGAAGTCGCGTAACTTCTGCGCTGCGATCATGGGATCTCCTCTGACTGTGCGTGCGATATCAACTGCAGTTTGGTAGGAAACGAACTCCCACAATCCTCGGTTCCCGATGATGACAAACTCATCCAGCTCAGAAAGATCCCATGCAACGATGTCCGGACGGGCGTTAACGATAGGGAAAAGGTAATAAAACCCGAAAGACCTTGACACATCGATTTCGTCATTGACATAGCCTTTTGGAGAAATCCAGCCTTCCGCAGAACGGATTCGATTCGTCTCTTCTCTGTCAAATGGGTCGTGTTTTCTGGATAAAAGCTCCGCGTTACCTTGCCTAGAGATGACGGCAAGTGCATTTCCGGCGTTGGCGACGTAGAGAGTCCTATCCACGAAGTAGAGCACCACGCCTGATGCACCGCTCCTGACCGAGGACATATCAACCGCATCCGTAGAATGGCCCGATGCACTGACTACAGACGATTTCCGACGTTGAGGAGCATAGAGGAAGTCATGGAGGAATTTGTTGAGCTTGAGAAACGCACGTCGCAGAGCGTGATGTATATTCTCTGGCAAATATTCGTCAACCTTCTCAAGTTCCTCGGAGAACGTGCAAAGGAAATGGTCGTGTAGATATTTGGAGACTCGGTTGCTACTACCAATGTGGGAAGCACGGCCAAACATGGCAAAGACGGCCTCGTTTTTTCTCTCACGGAAAGCGGGTTGTACGAGGTCGAACATACTGAGGTTCCCTCCCAGGGTATCAGCGATTCCGTATGCCATTTTATTGACTTCGGACAACGAAGTCCGCACTCGGCGATCCTCATTGTCGTCTGGGATATTCGGCAAGAACATGGTCGTGACGTCCATTAGACCAAGGACTTTCAATTGATGGAGGTGGGAGAAATCCGCAAGGTTGATCTCGAACCCGTTCTCATCTTTCAATGGTGCGGCTTTCTGGTCATACTTGATTTCTAGGCGCTTGTTACCAGACAAATTCAAATATCGCAAATTCGAATTGAAATTCCTACACGAGTATTAGATTTGGACACTAACGTAATCTGAATGAAAGACCCACCAATTCCAATCGAACTCCCAATTGTTCGTGTTGTACTTCAAATTATTGCTACCGACGTCGAGAATTGACAGCGACTGCATTTTGTGAAGTTCTTGTGGCAGGCTCTGTAACCTATTGCCGTTCAGATACAACGCCTTCAGGCTGGTTAACCGTGGAAGATCTTCGGTTGGGAGAGCAGTAAGCTTGTTCCCGCTGAGATACAATTCTTCTAGACAGGTGAGGTTTTTGAAGAACGACGGAGGGATCACTTGAAGGTCATTGAAAGAGAGGTTGAGAGCCTTGAGTTCCTTGAGCAACATCAGTGGATGCAGAGAATCTTCCGTCAGGCGATTCTCTCCTAGATATAACTTTTCCAGCGAATACGCCAGAGGGGGTAGAGTGCGGTTTGTGATGGAACCTGCGGCAGATGGCTTCCGTTCCATGTAAGGCGAGGCCGACATATTACTTGGCGGAGACACGGATATCTCGAGAGAAGCAGGCTCGTGGAGAGTACCAAGAAGATTTGACGTAACATTGATGATGCATAGTGAGGCGCATTGCCAAATCGTTTTCGGCAGCTCGTTGATACTGTTATTGTGAGCGTCCAGCTTCTCCAATTTCTGCAATTTGCCGATCGTCGAGGGAAGAGCATAAAGCTGGTTGTTTGAGCATGAGAGATGACGCAGCTGTACTAATTCACCGATCGAATCAGGCAGCGCGCGAATGGAGTTGTGATCTACCCTCAGCGTGTGGAGAGTTATCAAACAAGACAAGGCCAAGTCATCGAGCGACGATAACTTCGCGTGGGACAGGTCCAGGCATTTTAGCGAAAATTGTCGGCCGTCGGGCCCAGGGAGGAGTGTAAGTTGAGTGATGTCGTTGTTAGACACGTCGAGTGACAACAACGAAGGCCCGAATGATAATTCAAGGGCATGGACAAGGTTGTGATCCGCCAAAACATTCTCTACCTGTGGTAATAAACAGGCCGTTGCTAGGTTTAGGATGTTATTCCTCCGGCAGTCCAACGAACGTAGACTCGTCAATGAACCAAACCGCACAGGTAGCCGTGCAACGTGGTTACCCACCATGACCAGCTTCTCCAAAGCCTCTAAATTACCAATCTCCTCCGGTAGATCGGAAATCATATTGAACGAGATGTCTAAATCGATTAAGCTGGGGATCTTGCACACCACTTCGGGAAGCTGGCGAAACTTGTTGTTCGAGATGTTGAGTTCGCGCAGCGAGCGTAGGCGTGGGAAGTGCCAGGGAAGCCTCTCCATTCCATTATTTTGTAGCTTTAGTGTGCGTAGACCAGGGATATCTTCCAATCCTGCGTCATCGAGGTCCGTTATCCGGTTACATGACAGATCAAGTCGGTGAAGGGTTGTGCAGTGCCGAACACTCTGCGGCACCTTCTTCATCGCCATACCGGACAATCGCAACTCGCGCAGTGATGTACACGACTGGATAAAATCCAACGGGATCTCAAGCATGGGGTTCCGGGAAAGGTTCAATAAAACGATTGCATCTGCATGGGGGTACAGGGCCACAGGAACAGTCGTAAGTGCGCGGGCGGTGAGATCCACGAACTCCAGATTGTCCAAAATATCTTCTTGCTGTGGCTATGGCGACAAAGCACCCAAATTAGAGCTCTCTTGAGTTTCTAGTAGCTGACACTTACGGTACGACCCAGAACATTGCTCTTATACACGAATTTCATAAGAAATTGGATATCGTCCATACCCAACGATGGCAAGCCATCAGCCTCTTCGTATCCGGCCTCTTGTAGCCGTTTGCGCACGATATTCGCAGGCTTCTCCGTCATAGAAAGGATACGTTCTGACAGTTGCTATATTATGAGCAGTTCGAACATATTGAGGTCTCACATACCTCTACCCCTCTCCTTGAGGTATAGCCGGTGAGTCTCCCGATCAGGATCTAACAACAGCTTGTTGTTTAGGTACTTCATCAGCTGTTTGACTGTGGCGCTAAGCTCAATCGACGCTACGTGATAGGTACTGTCCGCCCGGTAGATCCTAAATTTGTAGGTCGGCTTGTTAATTGTCTTCCCCAGTGAACTACGTCGACGCTTTCTCAGGTTCTTCTTCTTCGCGACATCAGGACACTCGACCAAAGGATCGCCTTCCGTCAGTAACATATCCTCGTCGTCTGTGCTGGTAGGCTCTTGGGCGTTCCCGAAATCTTCATTGCCCGGCTCGACGGCCCAGCTCTCCGGTGCCTTCCATAACTGACTGTCCCCGCTGAGTGGTCGAGTTTTCGGTGAAATTTTACGTCCATCGTACGCTGGAGGACCAGCTTTGCGTTTTGAATTGGGAGGGACAGGGGCGAAGGGATCTCTAAAAACTCCATGGGATGACGAGGGGAGCCGGGCTCGGATGCTTGGGCGATTGCGGTATGTCGATGAAACATCCGAGCTCAAACTACTTGAATGAGTCCCGCTACTTGGTGAACTGATCTCACCATTGTGTGCATCGGACGGAATTTCCGGGACGGTTTTCAGGTCAACGATACCATCCATATTCTCAATGTTCAGGTCAAATACGTAGTCCGGGTTTTTTGATGGCAATGGCGGAGGTTCATCTGGTGTTTTCCTCTTGTGGGGTTTGACTCTCGGTGTAGAAGGGGGCAGGTATTGCGCGGGCGGGTGGGAGTACAATATAGCATCAGGAGAAGGAAGGGGGGGCACGGGGTCTTGCGTAGGGGACAGAAAGTTCAGCTGTTCAGGGCGCAGCCGACTTCTAGAGCGCACCTTTTTGAGTACGGCATCGACGATGGAAGAGCCACTCTTAAACTTCCTGATTGAGGTGTCAGATCCGTACCGAGGAGCATCTGTGAGCGTCGTCGTGCCGCTGCCGATGCTAGTGACGTCCGAGGCGCGGGATGCAGAACGGAGGCTGACCGTGCTGGCAATTGAGGAAAGAGAAGGCTTATGGAAGCCTGTGGTACGATATTTCGGCGGAGGAGTTGGCTAGAGATACGACCCGTGTGAGCGTGGGACCAACAAGCGGGAATGTACAGAGATACACAGGTCAGGGTTGGAAGTTAGCGTAACATGATATCTGATAGCATGGATGACCTCTCATTCTCGCTTGCATCAAGCGATTGAATTGCTCGATGCAAGAAAAGGGTTTGACACGGGAGTATATATGTAGAAGCCCAAATATACTTTGCGAGAGCTAGCTATCGCCAGTCCCTGTTCAAAGTAGTTTCGGTCCTCAGAAAGTGCTCATTATGCAGTTATCCCGGAGTGTCGAACAACTGCTCGTCTAACTTCGTCTGGGTTCAACACGACCGTGCAATGTAGCCGCAAACCGAGAGGGCCCAAGAAAGCAATTGAAAGCAAGTAGATGCCCCCAAGAACATGCACTCATATGCGAAAAAATTCACAATATCAAGACGGGACGCACAGGTTCAGGACCGGCTCCAGGTCCACTTTCTGTGGGAGATGGTGGGTCAAGCCATGGCGCAACAGCTCGATCTACGGCTGGCGGAGGTTCCGGAAAGATTTGGTGCGAAAGAAAGTCGTCCGTATGGTCCAAAGTGAGGGTAGACGAGAGGCTCGTTGTGTCCATTATCGTCGCCGTCGTTGAGAACGACAAGAAGGCAATGCATACAGTGACAGTCTTCGCTGCAAGCTTAGTTCGCACGTGCATTCGCTAGATTGATATATTTGCGATATAGTTATACATATGGGCTAACATATCACAGCAACTTGGCGCAGGGGTTAGCGCGCGGGGCCCATAACACACCGGCCCAAATCGGTCCGGTCACCCCGAGGTCCCTGGATCGAAACCAGGAGTTGCTATTTTATTTTTATTGGTCTGTTGCCCTTTTATACACTCCAGGAAGGCCACAATCCTTTCCTTTACCTTTACACTGACACCATAAATAGATAGAAAGGGTTCTAAGCAGTTTATAAACAGTAAAGCGTAAGTTTACAACTGATACTATGGTGCTTCAGGAACCTAGTGGTATTAGAAAGTTGGTCACAATGCGCTGCACATCGTAATTTTCAACTTGCAAGAGATTGGACTCTACCATTCGGAAGCAAATAAAGATCTGTACATACTGTAGAAAAAATGAGTACATTTGAGGCTATACCGGTGACATTGTTGGGCAAAAGCTATTTAGTCTCCGCTTTAACCCAAATTTGGTAGGCATGCTAGGCACACCTTCCCGCCACACCAATTCTTTCATCAGAACACTGCAGTTGACCTCTCTCAAATTACTTATGCACATTTGCCATGACTGTTTGAGACACAAATCATAGAATTTTTTGGGTCCCCTTCTGCATTCTAAAGCCTGGTGGCCCTATAGAGATGTGTCTTACAAAGCCTTGGAAGAATGGCTCAAGAAGAGGGCAGTTACCTGTCTAGGTCAAGACCCATGCCCCACCACACGTACTGTATGTATTCATTAGAACTTACTGGTTCCATTCATCAAGCTTATACATTTATATCAATTTTGTATATTACTGTATAAGTTTTCCTGCATGAATGATGGAATTCATGTAGATATGAAAGAAATGAGGCCGTATTTGATGATACAGTGGTTTCATTCACTGTGACATGTACTGCAATATGCCAGCAATAGCCTGTAACTTGTAAGGAATCTAGAACATCCTTAGGGGTGGAGGCAGTCAAGGAAGGGGTTAGACAGTCATACTGTCCGGTATGTGTTTAGCCCCATTCTCTCATGTTGTACAGCAGTGTTTGTATGATGTACTACATGAAATACATGTTTCCCGGAAACAATCCATGTGGTTTCATTAATGCTTGACCATTTAGAGTGCATATAAAGTGCATAATAAGGCTGCAGAACTAATATACTGATTATTTTTGTTCTTTCAGCCCCCCTACTAGTACCAGCTCCCACCCCGGTGATACGCTGCACCCCAGATACTACCCTAACACACAACACAACCCCTCTGGTGATACGCTGCGCCCCAGATACTACCCTAACACACAACACAACCCCTCCTGGCTATGCTGCAGTCACAGAAGTAGGTAGATTTGAGGCACTGTGCTGTAAAGGTGCGAGGGGGCTCCTGGATTCCCAAGACCAGAGTCTGTCTATACAAGAGAGGGATATGAGACGAACCTCCTAGCCAGTCATATCTGAACCCTCTCGTACTAGCCTCGTATCTCGTACTCTAACCTCTAACCTCGTACTAGCCTCTCGTGCCTTCGTACTAGTACTAGTATGAGCACTCTAGTATCTCGAGAATATAAGAACTGGGGACAGATAGAAAGGGCTGGAATCAACTGGAATGGGTGTAGTACACTCAAGTACCACTGAGGACGAAGTATAGAGTTAAGCAAGATCAAAATAGGGGAGATACGAGGCTAAAAGCTCATAGATTTGAAAATCGAAGCTTGGGACTTGTAGGGGGTTATGTATGGGGTTTGGATGGATAGAAATGGACTAGGGACACTGCCCTCTTGTACTAGGAACTGGGGGAACTCTTCTCTGTTGTTGTAGACAAAGTACAGGGGTTTATATAGTAAATTCGAAGTAAAGGTTCGAAAATATCAAATAAAATCAAAATAAAACCAAATAAAAGGTGAAACCAGTGCAGACCGTATGCTAACAAACCATATGACAGCAGACCATGTGGTGGAAACAAAAGACGAAAAGAACAAGGCATGAGGAAAACAATAAGAAAGCTAAAAGGCCAGATCTGAGGCAAAGGTCATAGCTCTCATACTACTGATAGACAAGCCAAGATACTCCGGGAAACTGATCTCCGAGTGCTTGGACCTCTTTGTAGGTATGACTCGAACCTCTCTGGCTCAAAGATCGGGGATCTGGTTCAAATCTCGTAGGTTAGAACTAGTGAAGGAGACGGAAACGGAAGATGGGAAGGTGAAATAGGAGAGTATACTAGCATAAAAATGGGGGTGTATCACTGGCACTGCTCATGTCTAAATCACACCTTGATGTTGATCTTGACTCTTTAACCACATAGAGTGTGCACTTGCAGCAGTGCGTGCGGAAGGTTTTAAGACAAACAGTCAACTCAATTATTCACTGCTCACAGCGGCATCTGACTTTAAATTTCCACGCAGCATACTTACCGCACGATACAATGGTACAAAGTCCCGCAAGGAGGCCCACAAACACAAGCAGAAGTTGTTGGCAAAGGCAGAGGAAGTTTTGGTCACTTGGATCAAAGTTATAGGCCGTCATGGAGTACCATTCACATCATCAATAATTTGCAAATATGCATTGCACATTGCTGGTACTCTGGTTGGTGAGTCCTGGATTCAGCAATTCAAATCTCATCATCCAGACCTCAAAGTGCAATGGATGAGCAGTCTTAAGGCATGCCGTGCTTGAGCTTTGAATCCCACTCTTGTCAAAGAGTATTTTGACATTATCCACACTGGATATTCCTGGAGATTTTTAGCTATGATAAAACCAGGAGTTGCTATTTTTATTTTCATTAGTCAATTGTTACAACCAATATATGGGATTTTTAATCCAGATGGTGAAGAGAGAAGAAAAGAATTTACCAGTTGTATTTATACTATTGTTTTTGAACTTTGCACACTGGATTCACAAAGTCTTCCTCAAGTTGTAGCTTAGAGCAGTGTAAGCACTGGATGTGCTTAAAAACTGAACAGTTCTCTCAGTGGCTGTATGATTGCAGGTGTCTGGGGTCTTTGGATGAGTAGAAGAGCTTTACAGTAATCCTTATCTTTCTTTTATCTGATTCTTGCTTTGTTTTGACTTGTTTGCTTGCAGAGAACACTTGTTCCATGCAGTTTTTGCTTATCAAGAGGATTTTCCTTCACGTCCATCCCTAGGACGTTTCATTTCCATTTCCTGCCTTCTCATTGGCTTGTATATGTTTTATTTCTTGAAAACTTCCTTGCATTTCGTCCACATAGCTCCAGTAGCGTAAATGAGTAGAAGAGGACTTTCCCCCTTTCCCCCTCAGGTTCCTAATTTCCCCATCTGTCGAGGATAAGGGTAGATGAAGGTACAAGGACCAAGTCCGGGCCGTTACACTGATTGGTATAATCAAAGTAAAATCCGTCAACTAGTAAACACCTAGACCCGATACCTTTAACATACACTAGCGACTTGAGCATACACAAACTGGCATCGAAGCTATATCGCACAAAAATATTGGTGCTCATCTTGAACACCGTGCAATCTCAGACCCAAGCGATTGCAGTACCTCTTTAATAATCAATTAATCAAAGGTCGCGGAGCCATAGCAGTAAAACAAATGCGTGAAATGCTACTTCCGTACTTATATTATCACGCCCCGCGAACCTATGACTGTTCCATCTTGTAGATTGGAGATTCTTATGGGTCTTATCCTTCGAACGATACCTAGTCTCCATTGTATATTCATCCACGAGTAGTGGACGAAGCTGTCCGCCTGGTGCTGAGCGATCATTCTAACGAGCGAAGCTAGGACGCATATAACATCAGGTGAACGGTGGACCAGAGTCTTGTCATATTAACGAGAATTGAGGGGGGAATGGGATGCGGACGACGGGTGCGGAGGAGCGAAAGCGCGCGGACGGAAGTTCTGAGTTCACAGACGCGAATGACGGCGAACGTGAACTCGCAACACAAGTAAAGAATGAGAAAATAGTAAGAAATAAACAAGGACAAATAGAGCGCGCTTAGGCGCTGGCTACTCAGTGGCTGTGAGACGCTTTCAACTTCAACACTCCCACTCGTCGAAACTCCTCTTCACTTCTCTACTACTCCTAATTCTGCGCGAAACTTCCGCGGTAATTGCTTGGTAAAAATATCCGCCAGCATTTCCGTGGTAGGACAATACTGAAGGTCTATTTCCAGGGACACAATTCGTTCGCGTACGAAATGGTGCCGAATATCGATGTGTTTGGCACGCGAATGCGCGATGGGGTTGCGAGACAGCGCGATACAACCTTGGTTGTCCGCGTGAATGAGTGTAGCTGTGCCCTGAGAGTGGCCTAGATCCGCTAACAAGGTACGAAGCCATATTGCCTCTTTTGCCGCATTTGCTGACGCCATGTATTCTGCCTCCACAGTCGATAATGCAACAGTTGGTTGCTTTTTGGATGACCACGAGATACACCCGCCGGTCATTTTGAACACATAGCCCGCGATCGAACGTCTCGAATCCACGTCGGACGCCCAGTCGGAGTCGGTCCAGCCGATAAGGTCAACATTTCCGCTACCGCCTCCAAGGCGTAACGAGAAATGCGCGGTGCCTCGCAAATACCGCAGAACTCGTTTGAGAGCTTCCAGATGTGGTTTGCCCGGGTTTGAGCCGAATTGCGCAAGAACACCGACGGCATGCTGTATATCTGGTCGGGTTTGTGTCGCATACAAGACGGCACCTACGACCTCGAGATATTTGAGCTCGCCTGCGTACAGAAGGTAATTCTTCTGCTCTTCAGGTGTAGAAGGGGATTGCATTGCTGATAAATTGTGCTTCGGAACCAGTGGAGTATGCACCGGCATGGATTCTTTCATCCCGAAGCGGTCCAAGAATCCTCGAATGTATGTTGTCTGATTCATATGAATGGTGCGATTTTGCCGGTTCCGTATGACCTGAACACCAAGAATAAAGGTAAGATCACCTCCATCAGTGATGTCAAAACGCTCCGCTAAATCGTGTTTAAAGCGCTTGACGAGCGCGAGCTTCTTTCCAGCAACCGCCATGTCATCAACATACACGAGGACCATCAGAACGATGTGCCCGTCCTCCTTGAGGACGTAAAGGCACTCATCTGCTTGACCTTTTTCGAAGCCTAGCTCGGCCATTGCCTCATCTAGCTTCTTTTTCCACTGCCG